AAATCCATCAGGATGAAGTCTCAATTCTGAACATTTATGCCCTAAATACAAAGGCATCCACATTGGTAAAAGAAACATTACTAAAACTCAAATCACATATAAAACTGCACACACTTATAGTTCGAGACTTCAACACCTCACTCTCACCACTGGACAGGAACACCAGACAGAAACTTAACAAAGAAACAAAAGAACTAATAGAAGTTATGCATCAATTGGTTTTAACAGATATCTATAGAATATTCCATACAAATACAAAACAATTTACCTTCTTCTCAGCGCCACATGGAATCTTCTCTAAAATCGACCACATACTTGGCAACATAGGAAACCTCAACAGGCATAAAAGAATTGAAATAACACCCTGTGTCTTATCAGACCACCATGCTTTAAAATTAGAATTCAACAACAACACGAACTAAAGAAAACCTACAAAATCATGGAAATTAAGTAACAACCAATTGCACAATTCATGGTTCCAGGAAGAAATAAAAAAAGAAATAAAAGATTTCCTAGAATTTAATGAAAATGCAGACACAACACATCCAAACCTATGGAATACTTTGAAAGCAGTGCTGAGGAAAGTTCATAGTGCTAAGTGCCCACATGAAGAATCAGGAGAATAATCACACTAGGGAATTAATACCACAACTGAAAGCTTTAGAAAACAAAGAAGCCAATACACTGTGGAGGAGCAGACTACAGGAAATAATCAAATTGAGGGATGAAATCAATAAAATGGAAACTAGGAGAACAATACAAAGAATCAGTATAACAAAGAGTTGATTCTTCAAGAAAATCAACAAGATAGACAAACCTTTATCCAAATTTACACAATAAACAGTGAATATGCAAATTAATAGAATCAGGAATGAAAAGGGGGACATAACAACAGACACAGAAAAAATCCAGAGAATCATCAGGTCATACTTTTGAAAAACTATATTCCTCTAAATTTGAAAATCTAAAGGAAATGGACAATTTTCTGGACAGATTTCACTTACCAAAATTAAATCAAGAACATATAAGCAACTTAAATAGACCTATAACCCCTAATGAAATTGAGGCAGTCATCAGAAGTCTCCCAACCCAAAAAAGCCCAGGGCCAGATGGCTTCAGTGCAGAATTCTACCATAAATTCAAAGTACAGATAATACCAATTCTCCTCAAAGTATTCTACACAATAGAAGCAGAAGGGTTATTACCAAATTCTTTTTATGAGGCTTCAATAACCTTGATACCCAAGCCACACAAAGACACAACTAAGAAAGAGAACTACAGTCCAATATCCCTCATGAACAATGATACAAAAATTCTCAAAAAAAATCAGGCAAAACCAAACCAAAAACACAACAGAAAAAACAAGAATCCAGAACAAGGAGGCTTCATCCCAGGGATGCAAGGATGGTTCAACATATGAAAATCCATCAATGTAATCCACCATATAAACAGACTGAGGAAAAAAAAAAAACACATGATCATCTCACCAGTTGCCGAAAAAGCCTTTGACAAAATCCAACACCCCTTCATGATAAAGGTCTTTGGAGAAATCAGGGATAACAGGAACATTCCTCAACATAATAAAAGCAATATACAGCAGGCTGAGAGCCAACATCAAATTAAATGAAGAGAAACTCAAATAAATTCCTCTAAAATCAGGTAAAAGACAAGGCTGTCCACTGTCTCCATACCTCTTCAATATTGTCCTTGAAGTTCTAGCTAGAGCAATAAGACAACAAAAGGAGATCAAGGGAATAGAAATCTAAAGGAAGAAGTTAAACTCTCACTATTTGCAGATGATAAGATAGTCTATATAAGTGACTCCAAAAACTCTACCAGGGAACTCCTACAGCTGATAAACAACTTCAGCAAAGTGGCAGGATACAAGATTAACTCAAAGAAATCTGTAGCCCTATTATATACCGATGACACATTGGTGGAGAAAGAAATCAGAGAAGTGTCACCCTTTACAATTGCCACAAACAACATAAAATACCTTGGTGGTCACACTAACCAAAAAAGTCAAAGACCTGTACTGTAAGAATTTTGAATTTCTAAAGAAAGAAATTAAAGAAGATACCAGAAAATGAAAGAACTCCCATGATCTTGGATAGGCAGCATCCACATAGTAAAAATGGCAATCTTGCCAAAATCAATCTACAGATTCAATGCAATCCCCATCAAAATCCCAACACAATTCTTTACTGGCTGTGAAAAAACAGTTCTCAACTTTATATGGAGAAACAAAAGACCCAGGATAGCGAAAACAACCCTGTACAATAAAGAAACTTCTGGAGGCATCACCATCCCTGACTTCAAGCTCTACTACACAGCTATAACCCTGAAAACAGCTTGGTACTGGCACAAATATATACAGGTAGACCAATGGAATAGAGTTGAAAACCCTGATATTAACCCACACACCTACGAACACCTGATTTTTGACAAACAATCCAAATATATTTGCTGGAACAAAGAGAATATCTTCAACAAATGGTGCTGGCATAACTGGATGCAAACATGTAGAAGACAGATAGACCCAAGCCTTTTGCCCTGCACAAAACTTAAGTCAAAATGGATCAAAGACCTCAACATAAACCCAGCCCCACTGAACCTATTAGCAGA